CATCGGGAAGAGAGGCCCTGGGGTGCCACAGCCGCTGGGCCAGGTGGGCTTCTCCAGCTCCAGCGAGTCCAGCAGAGCGTTGGCGTTGGCCTCCCCTGGGGGCAGAAGCCGAAAGGCAGCGTTAGTTGGTGCTGGAGGCCAGGGAATGGGGTGGTTGTGGAGAGCGGGGTGGCCATGGGGAGCAGCCCTTTTCCCTCCCTGCCTTCCCCCACATGCAGAACCAAAGCCGCTCCCTGGGCAACCCGTTAAAACCAAACCAAATGTACAAAACTTTCCCCTGGTAAGTCCAAAATAAGAATGGATAAAACAACTTTGCAACCCACATCAGCTGGAAAAGGGGAGATTTAGATCAGATAATAGGAAGAAATCCTTCCCTGTGAGGTGGTGAGGCCCTGACCCAGGTTGCCCAGAGAAGCTGTGGGTGCCCCCTCTCTGGCAGGGCCCAAGGCCGGGTTGGATGGGACCTGGGCTGGTGGAGGTGTCCCTGCCCATGGGGGTTGGAATTGGATGAGCTTTAAGTTCCCTTCCCACCCAATCCACGCTGCGATGCTGTAACTCATGCAAAAGCACCTTTGCTCACACAGCATCCAAAGTCATTACACCCAGAAAAAACCCTTTCCCAGGGCTGGCCCCACGTCTTTGTTAACGAGAGCAGATGAAATCAGGCTACAGAGCTGCTGTTTGCTGCCGGGCGCGCGCTTCCTCAGGAGACAGCGCTGCGGTTTCCCGGCCGGACGTACCGTGCAGCAGGCGCTGCTCCTGCACCAGCAGCGAGCGCAGCTCCACCCACCTCTGCCGCAGGGTTTGCTGTGGGGAGAAAGAGGGCCCTGTCACGCATGCTGAACGAAAACAGGGTGTGCAGAAAGTACAGAACATGGGCAGGAAGCACCCAACGTCCCTCTTTTCGCTGAGACAGTTTTCCTGGAGTTCAGCAAAGGTCTTTCAAAACACGCAGCCAGCAAAACCGGGCTGCCACATCTCGCATTTACACACCCAAACTGACCAGACTCTCGTTGCATGCACATTTTTTACCTCTTTTCCACATCTGGGTGGCCTGGCTGCAGGGTGCTGACGCACCAGGGTGCAGCACCCACGTGGGCAGCCCCCAGCCCAGAAGGTCTTGGGGGTCCCTCCATGTCCTGAGCAGGAGCCGTTTTGCCAGAGCAGTGGGAAATGAGGCTTTTCCCAGCTGCTGCATCATCGAGTCACTGCCAGCGGATTCAGACATGGGGTGCGATAAGAGCGGGTTGGCTGGGAAGCCTTTGCCGGAGCAGGGGTGCGGGGTGACCCAGCTCCCCCAAAGTGCCCTTCCTGCAGCACCATGACAGCCTCGCCTGTACAACGGGAGCAACACTGCCTCTGGGGAGACTTAGCCCCGAGAAACTGGCTCTTGCGATCTTTACACAGCATTAAATAAAGTAGCTTTTAGAGGTTCCTAATTCAGCCAAACCTAGGAAATTAATTGTCCATCTCACTGCGCTCACCAAGGTTTGTGGTGGCAGAGCACGCCCTTCATCGAGGCACTGGAGGTGGTGACAAACAGAATCGGGCTCTTTCCACCGCAGCCACATGGGTGTGAGAGCGCAGGGCTGGGCGCACACCCGTGTTTCACCCCGTAACGGTGAAACACAAGGTTGGGCACTTCTGGGAAACTGCTGTCACCTAAAAACTCCCCTATTGAAACTCAACGTCTCGCAGCAGGCTCTGAGACTTTGGCTTTGTCGTTTCCCTGGAAAGGAGTGGGGCTGTTTCTGGTGGCTTTACTGGTTATTTCATCCAGAATTCTAAGGGATTAGACCCAACGGCTCGTCCTGCAGCACTGGTGGGTCGTCCTGCAGCACTGGTGGCAGCCGGGACGGAAACACCCTGCTGCTGTGTCCCCATTAATGCAGCGCTGAGCTCTCAGGGTCTGGACATATATGATATAGGCATTGGCATACACAGCAAACCCTGAGGCTCAGCCCTGGCAAACTGAACCCATTTGTTCTGAGGTTTGCTCCAGCCAGATTAATTGATAATGCACTTTTTAAAGCCCCACACTCAGAGTTGCCATAAGGAAACACCCCTCACTCAGGTCAGGCAGGTCCCAGCTCTGGAAAGCCAGGGCACCCAGCCCCACAGGCACCCACCTGCCCCCTTTAGCATTGAGTCCTCCGCACTCATTAACAGATTAACCAATTAATTGCATTACCTTCAGTAACTGCAGCTTGGTCTCGAGCTCCATTTTCCGCAGAAACATGGCCCCGTTGATGGTCTCTAACCTGGGAATAACAGGCCCTGTCAGTGCCAAAGCAGAGAGGAGCACCAAGCACTGCTGGACCCTGCACCGCAGCTCACCACGTCACATCGCACCGCATCATTGCACCACACCACACTGCATCACATCACACTGCATCACTGCACCACACTGCACCCCACTGCGTGATCTCACACCACATTGCATCACATCACACCACATCATCGCACCACATTGCACCCCACTGCATCACATCACACCGCATCATTGCACCACATTGCACCACACCACACTGCTTCACTGCACCACACTGCACCCCACTGCGTGTTCTCACACCACATTGCATCACATCACACCACATCATCGCACCACATTGCACCCCACTGCATCACATCACACCGCATCATTGCACCACATTGCACCACACTACACTGCACCTCACTGCGTGATCTCACACCACATCACATCACATCACACCGCATCATCGCATCACATTGCACCCCACTGCACCACATCACACCGCATCATTGCACCATGTTGCACCCCACTGCATCATCTCACACCACATTGCATCATCTCACACCGCATCCCACCACACCACATTGCACCAAAGTGAGCCCCCTGCCTGGCCAAGCCCCCTCCTCCATGCTGGCCCCCGCAGCAGCGGTGCTGTTGCACGGCAGCAAACACAGGGCAGGGACAGGAGGAAAAGGGCCGTGGGGTGACACCTGAAATGCCTGCGAGGGAGCGATGCCTACCTTAAATAGTTCCCTGAAGACTTTATCAAGTCGACTATCTGCTTGTGACCAAACCCCTCGGTGTTCACGCCGTTGATGCTGGCGAGGATGTCTCCTGGTAGAGATACGCAGAGGTGAACGTGAGCGTCTGCAGCACACACCCCCTCCACGTGCAACAGAAATAACCCAGAGAAAAGCAAAGTAAAGCCACCCACAGCAGAAAAAACCCATGAGCAGTTACCAGTCTGAAGGCCAGAGAGATGGGCAGGACTCTCCTCCTGGATCCTGCAGACACAAGTGCAGACCTCCAGGGAGCAATCATTTTGGTTTGGCGGGAATCTGATAGTCTGTAAATACCAGCGGCAGCGTTAGCGATATTAAAGCCATGGAAACAACTTAAGAATTAATAGTCTTTTCTGCACGTTTTTAAATGAGAAGGCTGTGATGAGCAGGGTGTACTATCACACAAGAGAGAACATCAGAATGCTGTAACCTGGCAATTCGACAGCACATTCTTATGGTAGCAGACAGCAGATTCCTGCCTGTGCACTGCTCTTAGAAAAAACCCTGGTTTGAAAGCAAGCTGGTTACTCGTTATCAAAACCTCAGTAACTTCAGTCAATAACGTCTGTTGGCATGGATGAGGACTGCTTTCTAGATGCTATTACAGCTGCCAGATCAGTTCACAACGAGAACTGAAAACCAAGAAAAGCTGAACCAACTTTTGGTCTCTTAAACACATAATCCACACTCATCCCACACCCCCTAAAAAGTGCTTTTTATTCTTGACGTGTATATTTAAATCTGCATTAAGTAATTCTAGGTATAACTCCATCATGTGATTACCAGTGCTGGTGTGTATTTAGAAAGAAAATGCAAAAGCGGGCGATGCAACCTGACCAGATCTTGCAGTGCCAGGAAACGGCGCCTTGGTTACATGCAAATATCAGCACTTAGCCACATCTTCCTACCGAAATCTAAGACTGAAGCTGAACTTCCCTGAAAACCTGTGACAGCCACGTCTAACCCTGATACAAGAAGTGATGCTGGGTTCCCAAACTTCTCGGCCAGCAGAACAGACGCCTCCCAACCTGACAGACTGGGCCGGGTTGAGTGACATGAGTAGGACAAGCAGGGTGGGATGCAGTGGGATCCATCACAAACTGGAGCCACCTGCATGGGGGTGTCCTGATGTCCCCACCAGAGCCACCGGGAGCAGCGGACACCTCCACGGTGACACCCATGGCCCAGGAGCAGCGCTAAAACAGGAGGGAGGAATTCCCTCTCGTGCACCTTCTGGTTTTGGAGGGGACACCTGGATTTTGGGAGGGGGGAGATGCTACCAGAGCGCCTGCTGTGCAAACATCTGGGCACACTGGGAGCTGCTGGTCCATGAGTGGGATGTAGAAGTGGTAACACACGAGCAGCTCTGGCGTTCGACCATCAGAGCTCCCCGCAGCTGGCAGACCTGGAGTTTCACATCCTCTTCTCCTCGTTTGCCTCAATTTAACTCCTATTAATGAAATTACAGCTTCTAAATAGCGGTTTATCCTTCCTATCAGACAGACGCTGCCTTTCCATAGGCCGGACCTTCTAGTGAAGTGCTTTTTCGGGCAGAAAAATACGCCAAGAACAATTATTTTTAATCAGGATGTCGCGTATAATGAAAACCTGCCCTGACAATCGACACAAAGGGGCGGTGATTGACCCAATTCTCCTCCCTCCCGAAAGCTGACCGCTGTTGACGAGCTGCGCGCTCACCCCCTCATTAGTCACAGACCCGAACTGGAAAGGTAAGCTTTTCCCAGCACGCCCGTTTCACTGAAAACGCTGCTTTCCCTTTGCGCACAGGCACAGGGCAGCACTTTGAGGTGCCCCGACGGCGCAGTAATTGAAACAGAGGGGGAAGAGGGGGCATCTCACAGGCAGGGGATCACAAAACGGGCTCCTTCTTAAACAAATCAGCCTCCAAAAAGTCACACTTAGGGGTTATTTATTAAAAAACACACCAGTACTGTACATCTACTTAAAAATACTTGTCTCTATACATGTTTAAGGAGGTAGTAAAACGCTAGTATAAAGTATTTTTTTGGAGAGAGAGTTTTTTGGATGAAAATATTCTCATACACAGTTCTCCCAGAAAACACTCACTTATGGAGGTACGAAGGCATTGCCATTGCCTCGTATTTTGGGTTTGGATGAGATTTCTCCTGCATTCAACCCTCTGACTTGTGAGGAGGACATAAATTCCCACTGTTATTAAAAAACCCTTGGAAATGCACCCCATTTCTGTAGCATTACCGTAAGCTCTTCGGGTTTCGGGAGATGCTGACAGGTACCTTTCTCTGCTCTGTGCTGCCATAACCTAATTAATTTTGAGGCTGTGACACTTAAGAGTTTGCACCATACGTTATTTTCAAGTGAACCCACTTGTGATTTAAGTCTTACCTGGATTTCGAACCCAAACGTCTCGTTATCTCCTTTCAGTATAGCAACGAGGTGTCTGTAAGGAGAACACACAGGATTACACTGAACACCGGGTTGTTGTGTTCTGTGCACTGGGGCTGCGGGATGGGAAGGCTCCCAGGGCACACATTCCATGCAGAATAAGCAAATAATGGTGTTTATAGAAGAATATTTTCATACCTTTGTGGCTTGGAGCAGTCGTCCAAGGAGCTGGATCTGGTTAAGGGAAGCTGCAACCAGAAACAGGAGTGGAAAAGGGTCAGTGGGTTTGCAGTTCTTTGAGACACATGGCTAAAAAATCAGTGGTTTAGATGAAAATTAAACCAGTTTGTGGCATCCCACCGCCAGCCTGCACCAACACAGCCTCTCCCGCGGTCAAAAGAGAGCTTAAACTTTGAGAAGAGGAAACACATCTCGGTCTGGGACCTGACCATGCCTGTACCTTTCCTTTGTGCATCTCCCCTAAAAATCTGTGGGCATTTATAAACTCAATACCCATCCAAAAAGGCAGAAAGCACACAGAAATTAGGGTCACTGCAACAGTTCTCCCTGCAGCTTCTTGTGGTGGCTGCCAAGTATTTCCCAGCTGATGCTTGACGATGGCCACGAGCATCCCTGATCCCTGCTCCAGGCTGGGGAGACCTGCGCCTCTGGAAAAAAGCCAGGACCGGTCTTAAACACCGATTCTTCCCATAAAAGTGAACAATAAATAAGGAATTACATTGTCACTAAGATGTTTGTAGAGTTAAGGCAGTATAACTCGAAGTCTCAGGCTTCAGTAGTATGAAGTGATGCCACGGAGTGACACCTACAGAAATACCCCATGTTAGAAACGTGCATTGCCTTGGGGAGAGAAAGGTCAGGAGGGAGAGCCCACATGTATTAATAATAATA